CCGGGATATCCGCCCGGGATATCCTCCCGGGATATCCTCCCAGGATATCCTCTCAGGATATCCCCCCAGGATATCGGCCCGGGATATCCTCCCAGGATATCCTCTCAGGATATCCCCCCAGGATATCGGCCCGGGATATCCTCCCAGGATATCCGTCCAGGATATCCTCCCAGGATATCCCCCCAGGATATCGGCCCGGGATATCCTCCCAGGATATCCGTCCAGGATATCCTTCCAGGATATCCGTCCAGGATATCCTCCCAGGATATCCGCCCAAGATATCCTCCCAGGATATCCTCCCAGTCTATCCTCCCAGGATATCCGCCCAGGATATCCTCCCAGGATATCTTCCTGGGATATCCTCCTGGGATATCTTCCCGGGATATCCTCCCGGGATATCCTCCCAGGATATCCTCCTGGGTTATGCTGCCATCGCCCTGTGCTGTCGGGCTTTCTGCTTCCCCTGCGAAACCACTCCCACTCTAAACCCCACAACTCCCATAACCCACCTCTCGTTGCTCATCGGACAGGAACCCCCCTGACAGGTCCCGCAGCATGGCGAGCAGATCGCCCTTTGATATCTTCCCGTCGCCGTCCACGTCATACACAGCGAACACCACTGGGTGGAGGAGACAGGGGGGAGGGAAGGGGGGGAGGGGAAGGTGCGAGAAGGTGCAGTGTTGCTATCCCTTGGATACACGGCAAACACCACTGGGGGGAGGAGAAGGGAGGGAGCGAGACATGATGGCATGGCATGGCACAGGTGGAATCAGCCAATGATCCCCATGACACACCACACTGGATCCACGATTTCTCCCATCCCCATCCCATCCCATCCCATCCCATCCCATCCCATCCCATCCCATCCCATCCGTTCCCATGATCCTCCCATCCCATCACCACACTCACATCGGGTGCGGTCCTCCGCAGTGGCGCGTGAGCTGAAGGAAGCCAGCCACTTCACACCGTGTAGCCCATCCCACCTTCATCCCATCCCATCCCACCGCACTGCATCCCACAACTCTCACATCGCGTGCGGTCCTCAGCAGTGGCGCGGGAGCTGAAGGCAGCGAGCCACTTCACACCGTGTATCCCATCCATTCCCACCACCCTCCCTCGACTCCCGTCCCACCACCCTCTATCCCACCACCCTCCATCCCACCACCCGCTATCCCACCCCATCACCCTCACATCGGGTGCGGTCCTCCGCAGTGGCGCGGGAGCTGAAGGCAGCCAGCCACTTGACAAAGTCCTTGAAGTTCACGCCCTCTAGCATGCCCAGTAGCCGCTGGGGGGGAGGGGGAGTGGGGGAGAGGAACTGGAAGCGTGGGCCAGGGGAGAGGAAGGGGGTGCCCCCAAAAGCCACTTGACAAAGACCTTGAAGTTCACGCCCTCTAGCATGCCCAGTGGCCGCTGGGGGGGAGGAAAGGGGGGAAAGGGGGACGGGGAGGGAGAGAAGGGATGGGGGATGGGGGATGGGGAAGTGACCTCGGCGTAAATGCTAGGGCACTTGACAAAGTCCTTCAAGTTCGCGGCCTCTCGCATGCCCAGCAGCCGCTGGAGCGGAAAGGGGAGGGAGGTGGGAAAACCAGGAGGGGGCGAACATGACTCAAGGGCCACGTGACCAGCGTTGACTGGCTTTGACTCACATGCGCGAGGGGGTTGATGGCGAATTCGGGGATGGAGAGGAACTCGTCCCCGCTCACGTACCCCTTGCCGTTGCGGTCCAAAGCGCAGAACCGCCGGTACAGCGACGCGATCTCCTCCTGCGAGACTGGGGGGAAGGGGGGAGCGCGGGGGGGGCGCGGGGGAGAGAAGGGGGGAGAGGGGGGGAGGGGTGGGGAATGGGGAAAGTGTGCAGCGTGGGCGGGGAGGGGTTGGAGGCGGTGGAGCAGGAAGGGGAGAGGGCAGAAGGGAGGGAACGCGGAAGGCAGGCGGAATTTCGATGCGGAGATTGTCAATCTCCCCGCGTGAATCGACCCCGCGCTTCCATGCTCACATCGCCCGCCGTCATCACATCATTCGCTATACTCACATCCCCCACCGTCATCACACCACTCGCTGTACTAACACCCCCCACCATTATCACATCATTCGTTATACTCACATCGGCCGCCCACGTGCAGCTGCACGTCCTCGATGTCATACTGCGTCAGCAGCGAGTGCTCGTTTCCCATCGCCGCTCGGCGAACTGCCCTCCGCGTCGCGCCCCCTCTGTGACCTCCCTGTCTCTCGCGGCCGTCCCCGCTATCAACGGACTCGCTAAGGCTATACAAAGCACGGACCCAACCCACGGATGTGAAATCCCCGGTCACGGATGCGAAGTAAATGGACCCGTTCAGTCGAAGTTGCTATCGGGACTGCTGCGTATTCAATGCAACATCGGAGACTGATCGCACAAGAAGCAATTGCCAACGGTCACCACGGGAGTAGTCGCGCTGGATGCTTGAAGAATGTGGGTAATGGAGCTAGTGATGTCCATGTATCGGAGTTCCCGAAGTTATTAAGATTCCCGCTAGTGTCCAGGCCCCGATAACGGTCCCACGCATGGAAAATATGGTAATCATATACCAATTTCATTGAGTTAATCGTCTTTCCACATCTTAGGGAACTGGCTGCACATCAAAATGTTTGAGCTCTATGGATCTAAAAAGGGTCCAACAAAAACGGGTTGAAATCTTACCAGGTGTTCTACAGTCGATGCCCACCCCATGCACGCGAATTTGCTCTGCACCGGATGGAAACGCTGCACCCGAGGTTTTTTCCCCAGCCTGTTGCACCCACGTTACAAGCGCGTCGCGTGGTTATGAACCAATAGTAACGAACAGACCGAAGTCAAACTGAAGAGACTGAAGTCAAAATGTCAACGGATAAGGTTACAGATCCTTTATATAAGCACCTGCGAGTCCTTTTTAGCTAGCTGCGAATTGACGAAAACTATGCGAAATGGTCGATACAGCTTATACGCCCCCTTCACAAGGCAACCGGGAGGGGCTCAATCAGGCATCAGCTGTACGAGAAATTCACACGGCATCCGCCCAACGTCTGCCTCACAAATAGCACCGACACTCCCCACAGAATCATGTCGTGTAGCACACGATTTCGGTTTTCCCTTGTCGCGTCATTAGCGCCCCGCCCGAAAACCACGTCACCTCAGCCCTGCGCCTCGGCCCCTCCCACAGCAGGGGAAACCAGGTCCATGTGATGTGACCCTGGTCGTCGATTTGATTCGACGACGCCCCCCAACCAGGGCTATTGCTAGGATTTTTGCTAGCTCGGACGATCCGGGCCCCTGTGAAAAAGACCCTGTAAATTACGAGCCAGTGGGAAAAAAGCCTTCACAAATCCGGGTTCGAGCCAGAAAAGGCCTGAAAGCCTACCTTACCAGAATCTCGCGGGATGGGGCTATGATCGTAAAACTCACAGTGGGTGAGAGACTCACTGTGAGTTTTACGAAGGCTGGGAAGGTTGGCCATTAAAAAGCGACGCTAGAGGGGGGAGAGAGACTTTCTGTATACTTAGAAAATTTTATTCGTGGAGGAGTGCTAATAGCCACCTCAACGTAGTACCGGAAGTCAAACACCAGGAGGCCAAACCAGGAGCGAATGCTAAGGAAAATTCACTGAAAGTGGCCTATGCGTTGTACACGGGGAGAGGGAGGGGATGCGAAGCAGGTCGGGGACGATAAGTGTCCTAAAATTTCCGGGTCCCCTTGAAAACATCCCTGAGTCCCCGAGTGGGCTCAAAAATCACCCTTCAGTTTTACGGGCTGGTCCGAAGGTTACCTTGTGAAAATCAGGGTTGCTATGAAAAAAACCTTATAATTTCAGTCAAAACAGGGTAATTGCCCTGATAACTTAGGCCCTGCCCCCAACTACCCTGGAATTCGCGGAACAATTGCGCGCGTGTGCGGCCAGAGTGGGGGGGTTTGTCCAGTGCGGAGGATGAGCATATGGCTGTCTCGTGTGACGAACTGACACCGCAAGATGCAGCATACACATGTTGCTCAACCGCTGCTCTCGAATTTGCCCGGCACGCGCCAGATACTCTGCACGCGTGTATTTATTGCCAGCCAGTTGCACCCCACTTACAAGCGCCTCGAGCAAGTTGCAGCGATTTGAACCAATTCGAACCACAGAAAACGAAGCTTGACCGAAGAGACTGAAGTCAAAAGGTCAACGGCGAGTTACAAAGTTTTTTATAAGCCCGGGTGCGAATTGACGAAAACTTAGCGAAATGCAGGAATCACTTAAGAGCCCCCTTCACAAGGCAACCTTGGGTTAGTCAAACGAGCATCATTTGTAGCTATGGAGAGCCCTACGATAAGCTCATTCTAGGATTTGATAAGGCCATCCGCCCTTTCATTTCCCTTCTTCCCCCACTCGCGCCCTTCTTCCCCCACTCGCGCCCTGCTTCCCTTCCACCGCCACCCACCCACCACCTATCTCTCAATTCGGGAAATTCCTCCCACGATGGGATTGATGCAACCAGCTCATCTTCCACACAATTCTTTCTCGCCGCGTAGTGTACTTGCTCTTGACGGGCAACACAGAACAGCTGGACTGCCTACAGATTCCTCGACCGGAGCATACGTTAGGGCCTTGACATTGACAATGCTGGCAGGCAGTCCGTAGAACCTACAGTTGTCGAGACGCCTCAAAAGCAGCCCGTAGTAAGTGTGGTCGTTGTTTCACCTAGGTGTAAACGCCGCCATCTTTTCACTTCTTGTGAATCGTGAATCAGTCCAGAATAGACCCTATCAGCCTAAGATCCCCATTCTGCGAATCGGCAACAAGAACGAAAACGGTAGCTCGAGAGCAGCATGACCGTTCTTGGGCTGATAGGGTCCATAAGGGGCAAGTAAGGCCACCGCGTGAAGCATCCTCAGAGAAACTGTTTCCTATACGCGGTGTGCCGGGTACCGTGTTGAGCCAGTGCGCTCCGCAACATCCCGATTCGCTCCGCCGAACGCCCTTCCGCGTCCGAGAAGGCGCGGACGAATGGACCTCGAGAATGATGGCGCCGCGGGTACCGCCGCCGTGTGGGCGCCCGTCTCCCCGCCGCAAATCCCTCTCGTCGACGGATTCAGCTTTCACCAAGCGCCGCTTCCGTGCGCGGCGGCTAAATCCACGGAAAACAACGAATGGGGCGGCGGTTTCATGGTAGAATGGGCGGGCGGAAAGCGCAGCGAAGAGTGGGGGGTGGAGAACGGGGGTGACAGTTGGGGCGTTATGGGGGAGGAGGAAATGATCGTGGAGGGAGTTGCGGAAGCTCCGCCCACTCCGCTGATCCAAGCGCGCAATAACATCTCCGCTTCTGCCGATGTCTCCCCCAAAAAAACCGCCACTGTTGCCACATGTGTAACGAACGGATGGGATCCGCTGCATCTGAACCTGCAGTCTCGGGAGATTGTTCAGAAGAATCTTCAGGAGAAGCCACAGTGGCAAGTCGGCCAAGGCAACGACGGCTCCTGCCTCACCACTTCCCCCACCGCCGCCACCCCCGCCCGCGGCGGCTGCGCTAGCCGCCGAAGCCTCGGGGGAGTGACCCCTTCCGCAGCAACCAGCTCTTACGCCGCTGGCGCATCTTTTGGACCCGCTAACGCTGCGCCCGCTATCCCCCTTCTGACTCTTCCGCCATCCGCTTCCTTCACGGGCTCGCCGCCTAGCGCTGCTGCCTCGCACGGTACGGGCACTCAAACCATGGAATGTGGCGGCCACGTGCCAGCAGCGTGGTTCACTCCCACTGCCACGTCAGCCACCAACGTCCCCCCTGCATCGCTGATGTCAGCACTGGGGTCGCTTCAGGGCAAGATTGCCGCGCTGCAGCTGTTGATTCCGCTGGTGGCGCAGAGCGGCCCCGAGCCCGCCGTGCGCGAGCAGCAGGAGGCGGCGGCGGTGGGCGTGGCGGCGGTGATTCAGCAGGTGGCGCTCGCCGCCGTGGGGCTGCTTCCGCCGCGCCTGCAGGCGCAGCTTCTGCTGCCCGACATCGCGGGGGTGGTGCGCGCGGAACAGATGCGCGCGGAGCAGGAGCAATTGGCGCAGAAATACGCGGAGCTGGGGAATGCGGATCAGTCCGCGGAGAAACAGCAGGTCGAGGCGGAGGCGCAGGGGCAAGCGGAGGCGGAAGGGGTGCAGCAGCAGCCGCACATGCAGGAGGCGATGATGATGGCGCTGGCGCAAGCGCTCCAGCTGCAGGAGCAGCAGCAACAGGAACAGCAGCAGCAGCAGCACGAGCAGAAGCCACTAGCGCTTCCCACCGCTCCCTCTCCTCCTCTGCCTCCTGCTATCACTATGTTTGCACCCGACGCCGCTGCCCCTTCAGCCGCGCCTCCGCCTGCTCCGCTTGCGCTTGCTGACCCTCTTGCGGGGCCTGCTGACACTCTCCTTCCCCGCCCTCCCCCTCCCCTCGCTTCACCCGTTTCCGCAGCGGCATCCGGAGCCGGCGCCAGCACGGGGGAAGGCGAATCTGAGGCGGGACAGGAGGGAGGAGACAAGGAGGGAGAGCAGGAAAGATCGGGAGGGAGCAAGAGGAGAAGGGAATATGATGATGAAATGGAGGCAGCAATGGGGGAAGGGCCACTGAAGCAAGCTAAGGTGGCGGAGAGCCAGGCAGCTGATGCCTCTGGGGAAGAAGCAGCACCAACCAGTCAGCATCCTGGTGCAGCATCCCGGTCAGCTTCTGGTACAGCATCTGAGGCAGCAGCAGGAGCGGCATCAGGCGGAGAGTCCATGGGAGAGGGCTGCGAAGGCTCCAAGGCAGACACAGACACTGTCGCAGCCACAGCCAGTGCCAGCGACAGCGGCGAGGAGGCGGCAGCAGCAAGCAGCGGCGGCGGGGCGGGGTGGGGAGCAGAAGGCGTGCGTGTGGGGGAGTGGATGGTGGTGGAGATGCGCGTGGCAGAGCTGACCAACGACCAGATGCACTTCTGTGACGCATGCGGCAAGGGCTTTAAGCGCGAGGCCAACCTGCGCATGCACATCAAGGCACACGGACGCATGACCCCCAATCACCCAGCAGCGTCTCCTCCTCCCCTCTCCTCTTCCCTATCGCCCCCCGTGGACCCAGCACAGTTCCGCTTCAGCTGCCCTGTAGCGGGGTGCAAGCGGCACCGGGAGCATGTGGCCTTCCAGCCGCTCAAGACGGTGCTGTGTGTGCGCAACCATTACCGCCGCTCGCACTGCCCCAAGCTGCTCGCCTGCTCGCGGTGCGGCGGCGCCAAGCGGTTTGCAGTGCTGGCGGACCTGCGCACGCATGAGAAGCACTGCGGCCTTACCAGCTGGACCTGCTCCTGCGGCTCCCGATTCAGGTGAGCGCTTTGAAGGCGCCTCACTGGCCAGGTGCTTGTTAACCCATGCTTTCATGTTATGGACTGCTGGCCTCTTTTTGCTAACTGTTCGTTCATCACTCGGTTGTGTCCTCTGGCTTTCTTACCTCACCCCCTTTTCCCCTGAATGATTCCTGTCTTCCCTTCTTTCCCTCGCCTCCCCCTGTGGCTGCCCTTGAACCTCCCCACCTCCCCATGCAGCCGAAAGGACAAGCTGATGGCCCACCTGGTCACCTTCATCGGCCACTCTGCCGTCTCGCCGGGGAACAACCGTGCGTGAATCGCCACATTGGCATGACGGCAACATGCATGCATGTATGCATGCTGCCACGACAACTAATGCTTCAACGGCTGCGGAAGTTCTGCGGGTGGTGGCAATACAGCCGCCTGCAGGTTCCTTCCGGCGTTCACATGGACAAGCTTCGGTGCTGAGGCAGATTGTATGCTGCTTTGACTGTTCTTTGCTTGCTTTCTTTTTCCTTTTTGGTGCTGCTAGGCTAGTCTTTTGTTTGCTGCAGGCAGGCTGTGCGTGGACCTTCCATCCTCCACCTCTTCGCTTGTTTCCAGCAAATTGGCCCATTTTCGAGCCTCTTTGCTGGTAACAAGGCTACAGAAGGCCCTCTGTGGACGGAATTTGGAGGAGGATTGCAGGTCCTTGGCACCAGCTGCTACGTATGGATTTAATTGAATCGTATTATTGCTTTGACGTTCTTTCTTGTCATATTCAGTGTTGGAAACAATAAAACTTAAGCGCTTCAGTCGTGTCGAAACACCGCACCAGAAGCGAGGCAAACTACACCGAAGCACCCGCGAGTCAACCCTCGGAGGTTAAAAGAGGTTGCTGGAGGTTACGCGAAAGTCAAAGGTCAGCAACCTTTGACCCGACAAGTACAGCGCGACAGTTAAGGACATACAACTGACTCGTTACAGAGCAGTTGCCCGAGTCGTACTGTATCGAACCGCAACAGCAACAGTAAAAGTAGTTATAACTGTATCCTTTGATATTCCTTGCACTACTATATATTCTTGTACTTTCCTGTTATAATTAATCTACTTTGCCCTCACACACTAGCGCAAGGTGATTCACAAGTTTTATTAAAGCTTCCGCTGTTACAATACTATCCTACCCAGAGTTACTCCTGAAAAGATCCTAAGGGGCCATCTCAGCCCAACATGGTATGAGAGCAGTCAGGGGAAACTCTACCACTTCCAAATCAAAGACATTACAAGACATGGCAACAAACAAGGAGAGGAGCTCTTCTAATGGCTCCCCGGGCACTACTCCTACACCACCTCCTGCCTCTGGCCTGCAGACAGAGGAAGGCACGGCAACAAGACCTAGGGGAACGTCCACCGAGACTCTCACAAATCGCCCCACGGACTTCGACCAAAGCATGATGGAAAAATTTTTCTCCTTCATGTCCTTCTACGAGCAGCACCAGCAGTCGGGACCTGCACAGACACACAACAGCAACAACGGAGCGACGCCCATGAGCCTTGACGGGTCGTCATACGCGCGCGGAAATCAACAACAGCAACCTACCTTCGCCCCGTACGAACGCGGGTCAATCAGCTTCATGCCGCAGTCTTCGCCTGCACAAGACAAATCACTGGACGCGTTACAAGTACAGTCGCAATTCGCACACGTTTTGAAGCTTCAGACGTCAAGACCATTCGACGGAAAGGACTTCTTCACCTGGTCCTTTGAGTTCGAGTTGATGATGGAGGGCGCGCAGATACTTGGCTTCTTCGACGGGTCCCTGCAATATCCAGCAAACGGCACACAGTATGAGAAGCAGCAGTACACGTATCAATCGATGATGGCGTATACGATCCTACTGAGGAACTTAACACCAACTCAGCAGCAGAACATTCGGTCTTACCGGGCCTTCGGCAACTCGGCGGAGCTCGCGTACAACCATCTGAAGAGCCTGTATCAAGCAACAGACAGTGTAAACCAGAGCAGGTTAATGGCGCAGCTGACAACAGTTGAGATGAAACCAGGAGAGAAAGGAATGGCATATATCAGTCGATGTCGCGAACTGCGCGACAAGCTTCTTCGATGTGGAGGGTCCATCTCTGAAGACGCCTTCGTGACGGTCATCATCGGTGGCCTAGGTCCTCAGTGGCGCGCCACCAAAGCTATCCTCCGAGCCCACGGGAGAATCTCTGAAGCAGCACTCTGCGCCGAAATCCACGCCGAGCAACAGGATATGGACCTGCAAGAAGAACGACACAGAAAGAAGACGACAACATCAGAGTTCGTTTTTCACACGCAACGACGACACAACAACTACAACAACCGACAACAACAACCAAAACCAGTACCTCCCTTCTGTCACATCTGCAAGACTTCAGGGCACCCGCGCACGCACTGCCCGAATCGTCAACAGTCAACGACCCCGCAACGACACCTTCGACCCTCAAGCAGTCAAGTTGCGTCAACGCAAGCAAACCCAACGACCCAGATCCAAGCTTCAACGACCTCAACAGGACAACCTGCACAAGGAGCAAGAAACATCGTTAGCTGCATGGCAAGACTAAGCGAATCCTGCATTACCGAGTCACCACCTCATTACTCACCGGAAGAACAACTCGACAACGCCACACCTCGTCGCGAAGCACTTCAACCAAATCCGACATACGCCGCCATCGCCCAAAGCGAGCCATCCGGGAAGGATACATGGTTCCTGGACAGTTGCTGCGGACAACACATGTGTTCTTCAGGACGCTTCGTACAGCGAGAATATCAACTTCAACGTGAGGTCGTCATCACCGTCGCCAATAATCAGAACCTGCGCACACGACGACAAGGAATTGTACAACTTCAGTCACGGGAGACAAACGTCATTCTGCAAATGTCCAAGGTTTTAATCGCAGAAGGCCTTGGCTACAACTTACTAAGCGTCAGTCAACTGATGGCGAAATGAATTCACCTCGAAGCAGACAGCACGACCCAGGAATTCAAGCTATACCACGGGAGAGGAGGTCTTTACATCGGAAAAGCAGTCCTCAAGAACAACGTCTTCGTCTTGGACTTCGTTCCTGATCTCGGTACCGCTGACAGCGACGCCATAGTCAACTTCACCAACTGGACACACCCTCCAGATCTTGACCCTGACTTCAGTACAGGCGGCTTCTGGTATTCACATACCATTCCTGAAACAGAGAGAACAAGAGCATTAGCAACGATTCAACAATCGGCAGCAGCAGAGACAACGTCGGCAGCAGCAGAGACAACGTCGGCAGCAGCAGAGACAACGTCGGCAGCAGCAGAGACAACGTCGGCAGCAGCAGAGACAACATCGGCAGCAGCAGAGACAACAACAACAGCAGCAACAGCGACAACGACGACACCAGTCGCCGGTCCTTCAACGACGGCGTTCTTCAACGACGATGCACCACCAACACCTGCACAACAGCTTCAGCCAGCACCACGAGAATTTCATCACAGTCCCAACTTCACCACCGGTCTCTACTCCAACTCCGACATGTACCAGCGCTCACCCGGTCATCGCGCCAACGAAGAAATCTGGCACGCAAGAATGGGACACCCAAGCAACACTGTGCTAAATAACACGATTCGAGCAGGAGTACTCGACAAGGACTCTCTGCTTTTAACAGACGGACGAGAACTTCAACGAGCACGAGGGACTTGCTTCACCTGTCCTGAAGCTGACTTACCGCATCAACCCTTCGTCTCGCATCACAACCCAAGCGCACCTGCATATGCACCACTCGAGAAAGTATACAGCGACATCTTGTACAACCGCGAACCCGGACAAAACGCGTATAACTACACCATCACCTTCATCGACGCCGCTACACGTTACGTCTGGCACCTAAACTTACCAAGTCGCGACATGGCTTTCGAAGCTTTCGTGGCATGGCTTCCAGCAGCAGAACGGGAATCGGGAGCTAAGCTCAAAAGTTTCCAATCAGACGGAGGAGGAGAATACTCGTCACAGCGATTCAAGCAGTACCTGGCGGAGAAGGGAATCAAGAGACTCATCTCCCTTCCCTACGCCCATCAACAGCAGGGTGTAGCAGAAAGGATGAACAGGACTCTGCAGAACACCATGCGCAAACTGTTACGTGGCATGCGGCTACCCAACCACCAGTGGCCCGAAGCAATGGACCACGCCGTGATGCTGCACAACTTGCTTTCTTCGTCGTCACTCCCGAACAACACATCACCGCATCTGCTGTGGACAGGAAAACTGGGCAGCACAAAAATGTTACGAGTCTTCGGCTGCATGGTACAGTACCGGCCCCCATCTGCACGAGCCGGCCGATTCTCTCAACGCGCACAGTGGGGACTACACCTGGGCATCGAAAAACATTACAACGCGTGGAAAATCTTCGACATCCACACCAAAGAAACAGTAGCAGCACGTGATGTCATTTTCTACGAACGACTCACGCTGCCAACGTACCTTGCCAACCTGGACGAAAATCGAGACCCCACAGGCGGCTTCCGTGGCGATCGAGCCTTCGCTTCGGCAGAAGACGAAGCTGACTGGGACGAGCAGAATGTGGAAGGAGCCTCGGAAGAAGCCGGACCTCTTCCCTACTGCTCAGTGGACGTACCGATGGACGAAGAAAACCCTCGCGAAAGCGTCAACGCCGAAACTTACTACCACTTCGCCGACAACGGTTACGTTACACCTGCTGAAGTCAACACCAACGAAGCAGAACGCATAGGGCCCAACTTCGCACCCGATCCAGAAACTGGAGACGAGGCAGTCTATCCCGAGGACACCACACTCCCCCGCTACACACAGAGCGGACTCCAAATCCTTGGTCTCGTCACCGCGGTCCACGGCGTCAACATTCCTAAGGAGCCTGCGACAGTTCAGCAGGCTCTGGGGGGGGAGCATAAGGAAAAATGGCGCGAAGCCATGGACAAGGAGCTGAAGGCATTAGAGGAACGCAACACCTGGAAAGTCGTTCCCATCGGCGTAGCGCGAAACAAGACCATTCTTACCGGGAAATGGGTCTTCCGTGTGAAGACGAAGGCCGACGGCACCATCGACAAGTTCAAAGCGCGTTGGGTCGTTCGCGGCTTCGACCAGGAACATGGACGAGACTTCACCGAAACCTTCGCTCCGGTCAGCCGCCACACTTCACTTCGAATTCTTCTCGCCATCGCCGCTATGAAGAAGAAGAAACTGCGCCAAATCGACGTCGCGAACGCATTTCTCTACGCACCGGTCGATGCAGAGATTTTCGTGGAACTACCGCACGGCTCCAACACAAATTCCACGCACGTCTGCCAGC